ACACCGTACGGATGCGTCCGTATGCAAACTGCACCCATTTTAAATTCCTCCCCGAGGCTCCTTTTTTCCCCCACTTCTCCTAAGATCTTTGTAAACCGTTATATCCATTTTTTCTGAAGAAATCATTTTTTAAATCCATTAGAAAGTCATTCATTCTTAAAATAATGATAAAAATGGCACAATTGTTATATCTATCTTTTACTAAATGAAATTAATTAGGAGTGTGAATTTGAGATTCGAATAGATTGAAGTCAAAATAGCCCTTTTATACCTTGATTTGGATGAGATTATTTTCATGAAACAACTAGAAGGTTTTGTAAAAGAAAGAAAAATGTAGTTTGCAAGCTCAAAAGTCATTCTATACCTGAAGGAAAGGAAGCTTCAAGACAGTGGTGCAAAAACTTCCATAGCTATAACTTTTTGAGATTGTGATCGCATATGAAATTCTAATATTGCATGATGATGATAAACACACACATCTTAAGAAACTTAGCTAATTGAGTATACATACCAGTGTTGTTAGATTCGCTTCAGAGTTTTTCTCGGTTTGGTGAGAAAAATGAAGCAAGTCTGTGCTTTGACCGATTCAGAGAAGACTTCAGTTTTTTTTTTTAAAATTTAATATACATAAATTATATATTTATATATAAAGTATATACAAATAACATAAAAATAAAAAATAAAAATTTTAAAAAATAGAAAATTTTAATTTTTTTAAAAATACTTTTATATAGATATTTTTTTTATGACCGAAATAGCCCTAACCTTTGGACAAAGCAAACCCGAATTTGACTGAAGCGCCAGCACCACGCTTCTCCTCGCTTCGGTTTATGCTTAAAAACTGAAGGCTTCGGCCTCTTCGGCTTAAGCAAAGTGAATTGAGAACATTGATACATACCATATTTTTTGACGTGTGCCCGTAATGCAATGCCGGACCTTGATTTTTTTTCGTTCAATTATAGTCTCAGATTTCTCATGTACAATAAATGAGGGTGGTTTTTTTATGAAAAACGTTTATATAAGTGTGAGGCTCTAAACAATCAAATTGGCGCACCTCAAAAATTACACTAGAAGAGACTGTTTTAATGCCCAAATGTACTCAAATATATCATCTCGATCTTAAGATGCATGGACATGAGAAAAAAATAGATTTCAAAGTTTTTGAAAATAGTGCATCTTGCGGTATATTTTGGGACCGTCAAATTTCAAGATTTCATAGATCTGCTCAATCTACACTATTTTTGAAGCTTTAAATTTTATAATCAGAGATGAAAATATAATTTAAGGCTATCACAAAGATTTTCAATATTCAACCCACATTTTTTGACATTGTTTGAACAGTGCACTTTACTTTGATTGTTCAGAGCTTCGGGCCTTATATATATATATATATATATATATATATATATATATAGTAGT